TTATGTTAGATGTGTACAAAGGTGCACAAGTAATTAATTTCGGTCTATCCACAGTAAGCATTATACATTGTAATATTCTTGAACTGTAGATTTTTAACGATCTCTTAACTATTTTATTATTACTTTTTTCAGTACGAACGAAATCCAAGAGATTATTGTGGAACTTTATCATTTATGTGTCCGGAAATTCTCCAGAGGAAGCCTTACGGTAAAGACTTGTACTTTCACATTTGTACTTTCACATCATTGGATCATATTCTTGGATGTATTAATGAATGTATTGTTTGTAGATTCGTACTGTGACTGGTGGGCGTTCGCCATTGTGTTATTTCAAGCGTTGGTTGGAAGAACTCCTCTAGAGATTTATGTAAAAGAAGCTTTCGATATTGATAATGTGTATTTATTGCCCCGTTACGACCGAATAAGAGGTAATGTATCAAAATTATTAATTGAATAATAACAATAGCAATATAAGATAATTAATATTAAAATGCGTTTGCAGCTGCTCTAAATGTGAAGATGTCGTATCCTCCTGCATTATCGGATGATGCCAGACATTTTATTTATGATCTATTGCAAAAGGTAAAATTATACTTAACTGTACTTAACAAATTCATATTTGTCTTTCCCCGTTTTATGCACGAAATGACATTTATTTACGAACCGAAGCATGTAATTCTCTTATGTATCTACATTCGACTTTTCTCTGTTGCCAAAAACAATGAATATATACGGCAAATTTTGTGTTTTCTCTTGTATGAAAGCATTCATTCAATTAATATCGTTAATTGTAATCATATGGTCTTTCTGTGGACTTTCATAAATCTGTTTATAATTAATTCACTGATGATATTCAATAAAATGTCGAAAACTCGTTTCATATTATTAAGTAAATTATTAATGACGTGCTGCTAATTAGTTTAATAACATTTATCCTATCCGAAATAACACAGAGACGAAAATATAATCATTCGAATAGTAAATTTGAATTAATTACTTTTGTTTTCGATCATTTCAGGATCCGTACAGACGTCCTCTAGAAGTAAATATAAGGGAACACGAGTATTTTCATAAAGTGCCTTGGCCCAAAATTGTATGTTTTGTTTTCCAATATCGCATTTGAATGTCACTTTACGAAATAAAACAGCTGATTTGCTTTTGTATTTTCAGACTTAGGCGTTTTCGGCAGAATAAACTGAAAACGAAAATCGGATCTTTCTTAAAATCAATGTGGAAGCCGGTTAAGAGGTATGTATTTCTATGTACAGTACAGTACATTTAATCAATATTCGATTTAGCTGCGTCACTTTTTCGCCTCTCAAATTAGCACTAATTCGAGTGTGGCGGTAAACCAAAATTCCTCAAACATGAATATATAGTATTAAAATCTACACATAAATTTGAGTTCAGAACCTGTGTGATTTGACGAGATTCACATAATTTTCCTGTATTCTTTGGCGCTTTTTAAAATGCGTTATATCGTGATTTAACGGTTTAGTCTTCTTTTGTATTTCTGTTAATACTATGAGAAACTACACTATTTGCTTGTGTTTTACGCGTTTATTACGAACATAGAAGAGATTAACATAATTAGAAGAAACCTATTTGATAAGCATAATTTTATTTAATCGGTTTGTTACTTTATACTTTCTGCTCTCCATCAGACAAAATTTTTAGAATGTACTTGTCTCGTAACACTGCAAAATACNGAATATCAACTCAGCTGTTTTTAGCCATTTAAAAAACACTTAACACTTTATAACGCTGAGAAATATTTATTAAAACACAAACCTTTTCAGCCTAATGAAATAGGTTATCATTAGGTGACAGGCTATCGAACACCTTTGAAAATTCTGTTAAAACGGAACTTTCGAACTTTACAAGTTGAAAATTATAACGTAAAATAAATTAACCAATAATATACAAATTAACTATAATAAAGGTGTTCGATAGCCTGTCACCTAATGATGGTTTATTTCATTAGGCTGAAAACGTTTGTGTTTTAATAAATATTTCTTAGCGTTATAAGGTGTTAAGTGTTTTTTTAAATGTTTAAAAGAAGCTGGGTTGATATTCAATTTATTGGCAATACCGGCCAGGAAATATAAGGAATATAGGAAATTGGCATTGAAGTTAATAAAGGCGGACAGAAAGCTAGAATTTCTTAAGCAATGTCGGCTTAACAAAGTTTTCTCAATATCCATTTATAGAATATGTATTCCAAAGGAATGTACTTCGTTGAAAGAAAAAATTAGAAAAGACTGTCTACGTAAATCCGTCAGAATCGCAAAAAATAAAAGGTATGGAATGATACAAGATCTCGTTGCATTAGAAAATGAAGTATATAGTAACCACCCGGAAAGTCTCAATGAATTTAATGCGAAAGTGAGCAGGTTGACAGAAAAGGTACAAAAAAAGTTTAAGGAAAAGATATATCAAGAAAATGAAGTGGAACTTGAGTAAGCAAGTAACAAAAAAGAAAAAAACGAACGTAAACACATCGCCGTTTGTTCTATGGGACCAAGTCCACATTCCAACTGAAATCAAGGAAATTCTACAAAAAGGTCCTAACTTTGTTCCGGAAGACGAAAACTTATTGCAAACTTCATTAGCAGAAATGGAATGAGGATTGATAGAATTTAACGAGTTAGAAAAGGATTTTTTCCGATGGAAGGCTGTTTTTAGGGATGGAACCTGCAGAACGAAGAATAAGGAAATAAAACAGCTAAAACGTGCAAAACAGTGGTTGAATGACAATGAGTTGGTCCTAACACGAGCGGACAAGAGTAAGCATATGGTTATAATGGAAAGAAAAAGCTATAACAAAGCATTGGAAGAATACGTTAGAAGAACAGAATGTGAGCGATTTAATAAAAGTATTGTCACTAGCGTGGGCAGAAGAGTAAAAAAACTTGAACGAGCTCCATTACGTTTCGCATTAACTTTTCTACAACGGTCGCATAACCCGAACCCAGCAATTCCAAGAATATTTGTCTTTGCAAAAATACATAAGGAAGGCAAAGAGGTCAGACCAGTGGTGGAGAAATGCAGAGGGCCAACGTACATTTTGGAAAAACGTTTACATAGATTTATTTCGGATCAATTATGTAACAGTGATCTTGTTGCACGTAACTCGACCAATGTTGCTAAGGAGTTGAAAGAGTTAAGTTTAATAGATAAAGAAGTTGGGTCCGTTATGGATTTTGAAAGTCTGTATCCATCGGTAAGGATAGAATCATGTTACGAAGCTTTAATCGAATTTATGCTTCGCATAAAACCGAAAGTTGGTGCATTTGAGAATGATTTGAAAGCATTAGCCAAGTTGATATGTTATGAGACCTTCTTTAGCTATGATAAGCGTACCGATGGAAAACCCAATGTCAGGGTTGTTATGCGAACTGGTTTTACGCGACTTAGAAAAACAAGTTGTTCATAGCTTCAAAAAAGATATTGTATTTCACAACAGATATGTGGACGATGTGTGCATTATATGGAGAAACGGCGAAAGGATACAAGTGTTTATACAGGTTATTAACAACGCCAACAATGATGGTTTGAAACTGGAATTACAGCAGAAGAGTCACGAACGAATACATTTTCTAGATATTGACATACAATTAAAAGGAGATTGCATAACAACTAGCATTTACGTAAAACCTACGCACAATCCTCTCTACATACCAGCTAATTTGAATGACTCGCATGAATACAAAATGTCAGCATTTCGGGCACTCATTAGGAGAGCGTTTACTTATTGCTCCAATATATTAGATAACAGTAAAGAATTTAACAGAATTAAGGAAGTAGCTACAAATTTGGGTTTCCAGAGGTACAATTGAAGGGTTAGTAAAAAGTTATGAAAGAGGCAAGAGGCTAAGAACAGGAACAGATCTATTTAAGATCACAAAATTTACGTATAATAAAAACTTC